AGTCCTGGTCATCCAAGGCCCAGGAACCTCACCCCCACGCATGTGGCCTTGCCCCTCTGCTCTGTGTGAGAACCCAGCGGCCCTGACAGTCCTGGCGAGTCGGCTTCAAGTGAGCAGCCCTGCTGGGCGGAGGCCTTAGAGCTGGGGTGGACAGAGGTGGGCGAGCTGACCCAGGGTGGTGAGTTAGGACGAAGAGGTATTCCACCTCTCTAAAATGTTAATATCCTTTATTATGAGGAGAGCGGGAATCAAGGTGTCAGGGTCAGAAAACCGCGTCGGGGAGAGTGTGTGCTTCCCTGGCCTCACAGGGGGTCAGGTCATCTGTTAAAGCTGCCGAGAGTGAGCAGGCAGGCCCTTCCACGCACACCTCTTGCTGGGGTCTCAGGCCCATCTCGGGTAGGTTTAGTTGTCTCCTCAGGTATCTTTCGCCCTCTGGGTGCCTTCTGATCTGTTTGAAATCAGGCTCAACTTCTAATTCCTGTTTTTGCATCCCAGTAGCCCAAAAATAAGTCTGTTGGAGGTCAAATGGTTTTCAAGGATTGAAGTTTCCAAAGCAGCTGGACCTCACCCCTGCATCAGGCCGTCTTTGTGTCCTGGTGACCCTCCCACATTTCTTCTGTGATTGGCCACTCCAGGACTGTTTCATTTTTAGTAAAAGAGCATTTTGCCCTTCTGGAATACTTAAAAGCAGCATAAAACATTCACTTTATTTATTTGAATGTAGAGATGGTTGTGGAGAACATTCACATAAACTGTCTCTGCCACTCAGTTCATCCAGACTGCAGGGGGCACCAGGTCGACCAGAAATAGGGAGGCTGCCGGGGCGCAGGGCTGGCTCCGGGCACAAGGCTGGCTCCGGGGCTGAGGTTCTGCGCAGGTCTGCAACCCTGTCCTTTCCCCACATTCCCTCGGGGGGATTCTTGATGGTGATCTCAGCCCAGGAAAACACGTGTCTCTTTCTGTGCTTACACCACCAGGTGGTCGGCGTGGCCCAGGCCATCAACAAGAAATCGGCTCACGGCGGGACCTTCACGGAGAAGGACGAGAAGGTACTGTGGCCATGCTGCCGCCAGGGGCCTGGGACTGCATGCCGACCCAGAGCAACCACGGGGTCCTTGATGGCGGTTTGCAGCACCCTGAGTGCTGAAAGGCATCTTTGCCCTGTGCAGTGTGGGTGCTACCTGGGAGCGTGGAGCTGCTCAGTCGGGAATCGCAGCTGCCCCCTGCCCTGGGCTGTGCCCTGGGGCCCTGGTGGCCTGGCTCATGGTGTCTTCATGGCCTGGCTGGCCTTTGCTGTCTGCTGCAGAGGCTTGTCCTGAGTGAAGGGCCAGGGCCACCCAGGCTCAGCCTCCAGGTAGGCACAGGTGGGGGCTGTCCCTGGTGCACTGTTGCTTTACCAGCTTTGCCCACAGACTGCTGGTGCCCGGGTGCAGACTCAGGGTGCGTGGAACAGGCTGGCTGCTACTTCATGCCCGTCTCTTATGACTCTGAAGGCCCCGTTCCCCAGGCCATAGTGGCATCTGTCCCCTCCAGCATGTCCTTGAACCCATTCTTACCCTCGTCCCACAGGAGGCGTGCCGTTCCTCCTGGCGAATACCTACCTCTGTACCGTTCACCGCCAGCGCCCCTCCCCCAGGACCATTGTATTTACACATTGATCCTCTGAAAATTCATAGGAGCTTGACAGACGTTAAGACAAGACACGAGATACTTTGACCCAGGCTTAGGCTGTGTGGCACCTGTTTGTCCTCGTGCTTCAGCATAGCAGTACCTTTGAATACCCATCTAGCCTCCTGTGCTGCAAGGATACTTGGTGGGAAAGCCTGGTTCTGGGTTGGCTCTTTATTCCATTATTGTGTTTGTAGCCCTTTAAGGTGAAGCCTCTTGAACGAATTTGCAATCTTAGGCTCTATCACATCTTGGCAAAATATACTCATGGTTGTGGGATAAAGCCTGCCATCTCAAGATGTGCTTGGGTTGATAATTAATGTGACTGTAGCACATAACCCCAGGACGGGGTGTTCAGGGTGCTGGGAGGGTCCGTGTTTAAAGAGCACATTGGAAGTGTTATTTGCACCTTGATGCAGTGTGTGGCTGCACTGCTGCTGCTGTCCTTGTCCTGATGGCAGATGTGCCTTTGCTTGTGGCAGTAACCCTTGGCAGGCTCCACGTAGTCTCAGCAGAGGCCTGAATCTCAGCACCGTGTGGAGGCCACTGCAGATTCTGCACAGAGCAGATGGTGGTCTCATGTGGGAAGCCCCCTCCCAGCCCCTCTCCCCTTCCTCTTGCTGGCCCAGCCCTACCGTGCCCAGGAGGCTGAGAACACGCTGGCCCACTTGGTTGGCATCAGTGCCACCTGCACCTGGGCTCGTGGCTCTCGCTCCACCGTGGACCTGGGTGCCAGTGGTCTGGGCACTGCCCCTTGACGGTCCGGCTGCTGTTCTGCAGGACTTTGCTGCCTACCTGGCGTTCTGCGGCATCGTGCTTCACAATGCCCAGCTCTACGAGACTTCGCTCCTGGAGAACAGGAGGAACCAGGTGAGTGCTGCGGGTGCCCGTGTCCCCGCGGGAGAGTCCTGGCTGGGCTCAGGTGCAGGGCACTAGGTCAGACGTTCAGAGGCACTTGGCTTCTGGAAGCTGTTGCCGACTCCTGTCTCCCTGCTCGGTCGCTCCTCCTCTGTGGAAGTCTCTGCTGACCTGAGAGTGCAGGCTCACGTGGCCCTCATCCTGCCCATTGCATGTGGGTGTCCAGCTGCTGCCCAGGCGCTGTTGAGTACCGCGTTAGTTCCTGCCGTCCCTGGATTCTGAGAGCCATGAGACCTGCACCCAGCACCCGCCGCCCCCCCCCCACTCCTCTGCCTGCTTCTCCTTCTGGACTGTCTTCATTATCACCACATTGACAACTCACGCACTGTCCTGCAACCACGAGGCACATGTCCCACGGAACCTGCTCTGGCCCTCTGGGAAGTGCCCTGGTTTCTAGATCCCTGATTGTTTTGTTCTAGCACATTCCCAATTAAGTGCTTAAGAGATGGTACGAGTGAAGTGAGCGTTCTGAGACTTGCAGGTGAGGGACACCCACAGTGCCTGCTGCCTCTGTGGGTGTGAGTGGACACCGGAGAGCGTGGGGCCGCCTGGTGCCTGCTCTTGGCTGCTGTGGACGTTCCGTGCCTTCTCTGCCGTCTGAACATGACGGGCATGTTTCCTTCCTGCTGCTCTGCGTTCCCCTCTTCGGGCTCTCCCTCCACACACCTGCGTGCAGCTCCCGGGGCTGCTGTGGACTCGGCTCCTGTCGCCCGACCCTGAACCCTGTGCGCACCTGCACGTTTCCTGCCCGTAGGCCTCAGAGAGGACAGTCCCAGGAAGGCACAGGGGCTCTCACCCTGGCTTTGTGCGGAGTCGGGCGTAGTGAAGACTGGCGTGTGGTGAAGGTCTATCTGGGTGTTGGGGGCAGTGATCCCTGTGGGCCACCCGCTGGACGCTGTTCAGAACACCTTGTAGAGCTCAGCCCCCAGCAGCGCCCGCTCCCTGCTGCGGGCACCCTGTGGGAGGAAGCTTGTCCCTGTCACGCCAGTGGAGGGGTCACCAGGACTAGCCAGACGCTGCCCACCTGCAGCCCAGCCTCTGTGTGGCCATCCTGATGGTCATCATGGCGTGTGGCCAGCAGGCAGAATAGGCCTGCTGCTCCGGCACTGGGGCGGTCAGCCGTACAGCAGCAGTGAAGTTGTGGGCAGCTCGCTGCCGGCTGCGGCAGCCCCTGCAGGCTGGCACTTCCCTCCATCCAGGTGCTGCTGGACCTGGCCAGCCTGATTTTTGAGGAGCAGCAGTCACTAGAAGTGATTCTGAAGAAGATAGCGGCCACCATCATCTCCTTCATGCAGGTCCAAAGCTGCACCATCTTCATAGTGGACGAAGACTGCCCCGTGAGTACAGCACGGCCCTGGGAGCTGTGCACAGGGCCCCGTCACTGGCCCAGCCACAGCTGTCCCCGGGCACTAGGTGCCTGTCCAGCGGAGGGGTGGCTGGGGGTAGGGCTTCTCCAAGGCCCGGGTCCCACCACTACTCAACCCTGTGGCCTGGCACGGGCACCATGGCCACACTGTGTCACTGTGTAGGTACCATGATGATGGCCACACGGTGTCCACTGCGTAGCCCATGGCCACACTGTGTCCACTGTGTAGGTACCATGGCCACGGCCACACTGTGTCACTGTGTAGGAACCAAGATGGCCACACGGTGTCCACTGCGTAGCCCATGGCCACACTGTGTAGGTGACAAGGTGACGAGCACCTCTGGATGGGAAGAAGTCCTTGCGGAGTGCCGATGTCCACGGCAGGGTGGGGTGCCCGTTGCTCTAAGCAGGTGGACCTGGCTCCAAGTGCTGGGTGAAGAGCTTGCCTTTCCCACAGGGTCTTGCAAACCACAGGTGTCGCCCAGCAGAGGCCATACTCCAGGCACTGACCAGTCTGGCACCTGTCAGTACTGACAGGGTCTGACTGGCCCTCTGCTAGCTTGGTGACGCTGGGCACCTCCTCCCAGGGGGTACTTACGGTGACGAAACCACAGATGCTTTCCCCTTCACCAAGCGTCCCGACCCACCACTGCCCGCCTCCTAGGGTCGACTTTACCCTCTAGAGCACAGTTTTCTGTTGCTGGTGGAGGCACAGGACAAGCCCAGGGTGTAGGGAGAGAGGAGTGCTCACACCAGTGCTGGCCACCCACAGACGGGCATCTGCCCGAGTCTGGCAGGAGAGTCGAGTCCTGGCCCTCGCTGTGGCGCTCTGTGCGGTCTCTGAGCCTCCTGGACCCAGGAACCATGGCCTCTGCACGTTTCTTTCCAACGTGGTCCTTCTTCCTCTAAGACCACGCAGTTCCGTGGAACTGGGAAGAGCGTCTGCCTGGGTCTGTGTGGCACTGGGGACATAGGATAGAAAAGCATTCAACCAGGCACTTTAACAAGCTGCGAAGGCTGTGTGGCCCGTCACCATGTGAATCTGCGTATGAGTGTGTGTGTATGAGCGTGTGTGTGTGAGTGCGTCACAGTGGCTGATTCAAAAGGATAGCAAATGAAAATCCACTGTGCTAAAAAGATAGCCAGCATGTCCACAGGTGCTCTTTCACGTTTTAAATTGCTTACGAAACCCTTGACACAGGCGATCACAAGACAGTTGCCAGCCCTAAAGTTCAGGTCAGCATCCGTTAACGCCCGCGTCAGATTCAGCCTTCACGGCCTGCTCTCTGGCATTTAGTTTTTGAAAGTCGTACATGAAGCACTTATTTTTAAACATCTTAAATATCACTTTCATTGATATTCAGTGGGAGCTTCTCCCGGGTCGCACCACACGCTGATTTGGAAAAGCGGCGCCTTGGACTACAGATAACAAGAAGCCGTGACTATGTTTTGTAACTTTTTTACAACTTACGTTGCTACGTTTACAAAGGGAATCGGGTGCCTTGTGGGTTCATATCTATTGCAGTTATCTGTGCATGAAAATATTTCAACAGGAGCAAAAATAAAATCAAAGCCTCTCCCAACGTCCGTGGCCACGCCCCCTTCTGTTGGTCCTTTCCAGTTCTCCTTTATTCAGGTGTGACTGTAGCACGGGGGCAGATGGGTGTCTTGCTTTTTAAGTGTGATTTCAAGGGTAATTTTTACGTCACCCAGGTCTTCGTGTTACTTCAATGATGATAAAATATGACTGTGTGACCCACGGGCATGTTGCCTGTATTTAATAACAGCAATCCGAGTGGGGTTCCCTGGTGGGAGAGCCGTGGACCGGCGCGGGCTGCCGGGGGCCTTCTTGCCCGAGAAAACCAGATGAGTCGAGGGGAGCAGCGGAGAGAGCCTGTGCGCGAGCCGGGCCTCACTGGGGCAGCAGGACGGGAGCAGCCGCACACGCCAGGGTTGCGCTCTGCCGACACCAAGCCTCAGCCTCCCGTCTTCTGTTTTAGGACTCCTTTTCTAGTGTGTTTCACATGGAGTGCGAAGAGGCAGACTCCTCGGAGACCTTGACAAGGTGAGTGACTTGCCGTCTGTCCTTCTCACGGGGTCTCTCGCCAGCCTGGCTCACCAAGCTCACGGGGCCGTTCTCCCCACGGTGTTGTGGGAAAGCCTCACTCGGGGATGGAGCCCCAGGCTCTCCTCTGCACCGGCCTGTCTGTGGACCGTGTCACAGTGACCCGGGTGACCCGTGTGGGACGGGTGTGGAGTGACTGTGCACGAGCTCATCAGGACCCAGGAGTACTGCGTCTTGAGCACCTTTGCTCACGGGCCTGTTCGCCCCTCTCTGGGGACTCCGTAGGTTCCTGCTCCGATCTGATCTAGCAGCAGAAGGAGCCTGGGGCCCTGAACAGACCAGATCTCCACGGCCCTCCAGCCCTTTTCCGTGTTTCGCCGTGTTTTCAAACCTGTGTTCATGTCTTGGCCGATGACTTGTTTGAGCAGCGTCAGGTCTTCATGGGATGGAGGATGGATGCCACTGTCCCTCCTGAAGAATCCGCCACACATTCAGGGTAGAGGGCCAGAGCTCTCACTCAGTCCTTTTGTCACCCTTAGCCAGCTGGCATGTCCTCGCAGGTGACAAGACCCTCAGGAATGCCAGTTTGCCCCCGTGCCGCTCCCCACCTCGCTCCCTCTCCACTGCGGAAGACCCCTTTCCCTGTGGCCCTTGGCCTATCTCCAGGCCTCACGTGGAAGCAGAGGCTGCTGTTTCTCCTTGTGACGTCAAGGTTCCGGCCTTTCCCAGACTTCTCCACGTGGCGGGTGGGGTGGCCTCTAGTCAGCGTCAGTGCTGAGCTCCTCACCCTTGGCTCTGAAAGGACCTCCCTGCTCACTCAGCTGCGTACCCTCTGCCGGACAAGTGCCATCCCCCGACACAGTGGGGGGAGGGTGTGTGCTCAGAGCCCAGGCAGGACTGGCACTCTGCGGGATCCCAGTTCAGACAAGGCCGTGATCCAAAGAGCCCCTCACACACAGGTGGAGACCCAGACGCTGCGTGGACACTGGGCATCCTGACGAGGGAGCCTGTCCCCATCACTGGGGAGGACGTCCCCCGCTCGGGAGACTCACGCTGCAGGGTCCAGGGGCGGTGTCCTGGGGTCCGCAGCTCACTCTAAATGGCTGAGCCAAGTGCAGAGAAGTAAGTGCATGAGAATGGCCAAGTGAGTCAGTGCAGCTCCCCTACGGTGCAGACGGAGCGCGGTGGCTGGAGATGAAGAGCTCAGTTTACCTTTGGGTTTCCTGGACTCTTATATCCATTTAAAAATAGTTCATCAAGAAGGTCTGGAAGAAGATGTTTCAATAAAAAGTGAAAAGCAATGTAAAACAGAACTCATCTCTAGACCCCACAAAGCTGCAGGAGCACCATGGCCACCCGCCTGCAGCCTGGTGTGCCCCGGGAGCTTGGTCTGCACACGGCCACTGTCGGGGAGCTGGCCACCTAGCAGAGCGCTGATGAGCGGTCGTGTCTCTGATGATAGTGCAGCAAGTGGCCTGTAAGACCCCTGAGGTGTCTGAATTTTGCTTTTCCACTGGAGTGAGCTGAGATATTTATGTAAGCAAAGGTCTGTGGTCTAGGTCTGTCTCTTCACCTTCATCTCTGTAGGAGAATAAGAGCTAGGATGATGCTTCTTAAAGGTGCAGAGTCACGAATCATCCTCGTCTGCCCCTACACCTGTGTGTACTACCTGTGTGCGCCTACCTCTGGGAGTCACTTCCTCTCTGAGCTGAGCCCAGTGATGCGGGGTCACGGCGCCCTCTGCTGGTGCATTCTTAGAACACGCCGGCGCTTCCTTCAGGAAGACCACCTGCTTGTCAGCCTGAGAAGGGCCTTGGGTGGCCTCAGTCCCTCCAGGACAGCCTGAGGGTCAAGACACTTTTACAGAGCACGTGGGGGCCTGTATGGTGACCTTAAAAGACCCATCTTAACCGACTTACTCACTGATTTTAAAGCGATAAAAACCATTCAGTGCAAATGGCTTATAGCAGCTACATATTTTTAAATTCTCATCCTGCCCTAGAAGACCCCCAGTCGTGAATGAAAGTTCCATTTAAAGTTAATTTTAATAAGATTTACACAGCAGGGTGAATTGCATAAAAACTAACTTAGACAGCGTTCAGTGACTGCGGCATTTTGAAGTGGGGGCTGAGCGGTGACTTCTGCTCACCCGGGGGTCTCTAGTCCGTGTCTGAACTCCACAAACCCAGCCCTCAGCGGGAAGGGTGGGGGCCTGGTGACGTGAGCTGCAGGCAGACCAGTCTTAGTTACCAGTGGAGAGGGCCGGGGGGAGAACTGGGAGGCTTTCTGGGTACGCGCTGCGTGTCCTGGTTAAGTCCACCTCGTGTCCTGGTTAAGTCCACCTCGTGTCCTGGTTAAGTCCACCTCGTCAGGGTGAAGTGTGGTGAGCCCTTGAGGTGGGGCCCAGAATCCCCACGGAGGTGCTCTGTGGGGGGCTGGGTCCGTGCTGTGGCTCCCGGAACTGACTAGGGGAGGGACAGAGGTGGCGCTGTGGCGGGCCCGGCTCTGAGAGCAGGTGTGAGGGCACTGTCCTCCACGCCAGCAGACTGTGGTCCTGGTGGACGCACAGGCTATTGTGAAATGACACCACGGACGGAACCCCTGAGCCCACCTCCTGGGAGGAGATACCGGTCCGTAGTCGTTGCCAACAATTGTATCAGAAAACACAATCATCACTAAATAGTGAAGACTGGGACTTTGAAAAGTGGCAAGAGGGTCGTTAGTACTCAACTGTGGACAGAAGAGGGAAGGACTCCAGCTGACTCCGTGGTTCAAGTCCAGCGCGTCCCAGCGGCAGGACTTGGTGCACACTGAACCGTCCTGAAGCCGCAGCTTCTCCCTGGGATGGCGGACGGCAGGACTCAGGGCCCTGTGTGGCTCCAGGGCAGGCACATGCTGGGCCTCCTCCACAGCTCCCTGTCCCTGACGGCCTTCCCAAGAGTCCCCTGCAGAGTCACCTCCGCTGTCCACTGTGCAGAGTCCACTGATGCCTGAGTTGGCCCAGACCTCCCAGAATCAGACGCCAGGGCTGGGCAGACGTGCAAGAGGAAGAGGAGGCCTGAGAGTGGGAGGAGGGCCCAGGAGGCCAGTCTCAGGCCAGGCACCAGGGCCTGTGGTCCCAGAGACTCAGCAAGTCCAGGGTCGGCCTTCACAGTTCGGCAGGACCTTCTCTCAAATTTAAAAAGGCAGAAAGGAGGGGCTGTGGCTCAGTGCTGGAGCACCCGGGTTCAATCCTCAGTTCCAAAATAAGTCTGGGGCGAGGGCGGGGCCGGGAGCGTCTCCCAGCCGAGGGTGGGGTCTGAGCAGGTGCGGGGAGTTCTCCTGCCAGCTTCCCTTGGCGGGGTGCTGGTGCCACCACGTGGGCTCAGTCTGCAGGAGCAGTTCTGGGAAGTGGCCCCGGCGCATAGCCCAGGACGCGGTGGGTGTGCTCCTAGAGGCTCCTCCTGAGGGCCACTGAGTGTCCCTGCCATCGCAAGGGTGAAGCTCACGCTCCTGCCACAGCCCTTTCTTCGTCTCCCGCCCTCTGCCTGCCTGGCACCTGCAGGCTGAAGCCGCACTCCACCCTGCCAGCCTGTGTGGCTCAGTGGTGGCCTCTCCAGCACTGTTGGGTCCTGCTCCCTCCTGTGTCCACAGCCCCACTCCGGGGTCAGTCTTGGCCAGCCTTGCAGGGCCATCTGTCCCCTTGCCATCCACCCAGTGCTGTGGCCATCTTCCCTGCCTGTGTGGGGTGGCTTGTTACCAGCTGCATGAGCTAGGAGGGGTTAGTCATGAGACCCAGACGGACGCGGTGTCCTCCTTCCTGGAGAGCCTCAACATGCCAGGGACCCGGGCACTCCCTGCTGCCTGGCATCCCTGGTATGTGGCCCTTCCCTGTGGGACTGAGGGGCAGCCCAAGCCATCCAGTCCATGTTCTAAACAGCAGAGCGAGGACAAGGCAGGGCTGGGATCACCACGCTGCCTTTTACATCCTGCTGACGGACTTAGCTCTGGGACACCAGCCCACGGGGCAGCGGAGGGCAGTTCCACTCTGGGTGGGAAGGAGAGTTTCCCAGGACAGCCGGCACCTCTGCTTGACAACCCAGGCGGACACGCACCCAGAGCACATGCTACCGCTGCAGCTTCCTGCCGGATCAGGAGCCTCAGGCGGCCACTTGGTCACTCACCCTGTCCCCTCATCTCTCCCAGGCAGCACACAGACTTCTCAGAGCAGGTCACGCTGAATTCACTGAG